CTGAATATCAATTTGATGAGATTGAATATTACTTTGCTGAAGCAAAATGATAATTTTGTCAAATTTAAGATCAATTTCATGTTAATTTGGTAAAATCTTGTGTTAATTTGATGAAATTTAATGTTAATTGGATAAAATTGATAGTTAATTTGGTGTTAATTTGATCTAATTTGATGAAGTTTAATGTGATTTTGATAAAATTGAATGTTAATTTTATAAAATTGAATACTAATTTGGTATTAGTTTAATAAAATTGAATATTAATTAGATGAATTGAATGCTAATTTGATGAATGTGAATGTTAATTTGACAAAATTTAATATTAATTTGAACTTATTTGATGAAATTGAATATTAATTTGATAAAATTAAATATTAATTGGATAAAATTGAATATTAATCAAACAAAATTAAAGTTCAATTTGACGTTAATTTGATAAAATTATAGATTAATTTTGTATTAATTTGAGTAAGGGTAATTAAGTAAAATGAGAGTTCTAGTAAAAATAATTTAATAAAATTACATATTTGTTAAGTCTGTTAACAGATAAAAATTGACAGGAGTATGTAGTGATATTTTATAAATCAGAGAGGGTATTAGTTAAATATGAATTAAATTCAAGGGAGTAAGTGAAATTTATCCTATCTAATATTACAAATAAGAGTTGAATTCTCAACTTATAAAAGTACACAATGACTCATATTAATTCAAGAAAATTGATCCAAAAGTCTAAAATCACTTCAAAAATATGTCAGCTAGAAACTTGAATTTCAAATATATAAAAGCAAAATAATGACTCGGACTAAATTATGAAAATTGATGCAAAGGTCTAAAATCACTCCAAAAATCCCTTCATATATGTCACTCTAAAATCACTCCAAAAGCATATTAGAGAGCCCGTCGAAGTTGTCAAAAATATTCACCGTCTATTTTAAAATTTTATAAACGATGATTTCTATTTAAAAAAAATGCTCTCCAAAAATAGAGAATACTATTAAAAATAATTTTAGGGTACCACTATGTACCACGCCAATATTTATTATCATATATATAATAAGGGAGTTAGAAGTTTGAATCTTATTCTCGTATATATTTTTAGTTTGAATTTTATTCTCATATATATTTTTTCAATCCTTTCTATCACATCACTCATTTCTATTACAAGTTGAATTATTTAATTTTTTATTAATTTATGACTCAAATAATTTTTACTTCAGACATTTTTCATAAACGATGGTATACACATTTTGATTTTTTTAGGTCATGCATTTAGAGAAAATTTTGTTAAAAAAAGTGAAGGAAATAAAAATTATTAATCGATTATAATGGTATTGATTTTTTGGACTTTTGGATTATATGCTGCATTGTGCTTTCAAGCATAAGTTATGATCAATTTATAAATATATTAACAATAATTTCATGTCTGAAGACACCTTACAATATCAAAAATTGAGAATTGATAGTGATGATACCTTAAAAATGCTTAAGGATGAACTCAGTGATTCTGGTCATGCTTTCTTAGATCGGGAGCCTAGATTGTTTTGGATGCTCATGGAGCTCGAGGTCAAATCTCTCATCCCTGTAACCACATCTCAAGGAAGGTAGTGTAGAAGACGGCTAGACTCCACCCAAGCACCACCCTAGATAATAATGGTCGCATATCTAGGCAGAAGAACCGCGACTGCCACAATACCCTCCATAACCATCACGAGATAATAGCAACCGTTACAAAGAGGGACAAAGATCTCATCAAAGGTTAAGCAAGACTCAGGATCGACTATAAATAAGGGGCATCACTCCCAATAATGAATATAAGCAATTGTAATTAGAATCACTCTTTGTAGTATCATTTCTTCATTAATACAACCCTTGGGAGGAAGAGATTCCCTTAAAAGTGAACTAGCTAAGCTCCTGAATTGATAAACCCCTTTCCTTGATCCAAAACCTAAGAACCTAGGAGCTTAGACTAAGTAACTCAATACTCATTGATTTCTTACATTTGCTCATTGTAGTGAAACATATATCATCAAATCGTATATAATTTATTTATTTAATTAATTAAATAATTTAAATTTTAAGTTAACAAAGAAAAACTAAGAAAGAGGTAAACCAAGATAAGAAAGAGTCAACAGTGAATTAGTGAAATTATTTGGTACTGTGAAATGTATTAGTTGGATTGTCTTACAATCGGAGGTCATGCAAAAAAAAAAAGATGTTTTTGAGCGAAAAAAAATTTAGAAAAAATTTTGTACTATTATATCAAAGTACGTAGATGAAAATTAAATCAATTCTAACAGTTATTTGAATTATACGTTGAGAATTCAAATTTTTACCAGTAACATTATATATATTTTATTTCAATTTATTCACAATAAATTTTAAAAAATCTAAAAAAATTCGACCTTGTCTTAGGAAATAGGACACATCGCAGTGGGACTTCAATTACAAATGAAACCCAATTAAACAAATATAAGATTTATCTCTTTTAAATACTCTAGTTTTAATGTAAATGATTTATTTTTTATTGGACCAAGAAAAAAGTTATTAAGGTGCACATAAATTGAACCGAATACTTCTCTGATCGTTGAAATAAAATAGAAGAGATTAGGATTAAATTTTGTTAAGTTTGAGTTAGGTTGGGAGAAAAATCGAGTATATATACACACATACATTAGGGTTAATCTGTGATGACCGAATCTCGACTCGAGCTAGATTATATAATTAAAATTTTATGAGTTATCTGATATTGTTAGAAATTATACGAATTTCATTTGGGGTCAAGTTATAAGTTAGGATTTAATTGTGAAATATTTGATTATTATAAATTTTATAGTGATCAAAATATATCGAGTAAGGAAAAAAAAAATATATATATGAAATAAAGGATAAGTGTAACTATGAAAATATGGGCTGGTCTTTAACGTGAATGAATTAAAAGCTATGGAATAAAATAAGATAGCAAAACAAAATAGAAGAGATAAGAAGTTAAAAAAAAATGGATAACTATAAAAGAAAGCGCGAGGAATAAAGTAGGACACTTGTCAATTTATACAAATGCATGCCATGTGATGTGTGTCTATTTTATATCAATCGGTTAAGAATTGAGTAAGTGGTTTATACATGATATGCATTCTTTTAATCTCTTTATAAAGAGTATTTTATTGATATCGTGCTATACGTACTCAAATTGTGATATCGTTTGAGTTTGAGTTTCCAAATAATATTTCGTTCAATTTCTGATTTTTTGTTTGACTTGTCATTAATTGCTATAATGTTAGCTTTGGAGAATTACTTGAGATTTTTTGACTCGTGTGTAAGATATACTCGGTGGCATTGTTATGATTGTGATTCATGTTCGTGGCCCTGAGGGGTGGACATGATTTAATTAAAATGCACCGAATGATGCCTAGCTTGTTGTCGGGATTGATCGAGTGTTCAATCATGGTTGATTTGTTTTGTTCAAACATTGGAGATCGTTGACTTGTTCAATATATTTGTACTCCGTAACTCTTGTGTCATCGATGGATTATCGGTTGGTTGATAAATTATGGTCTCGCCTTTGACTTCGTATATTATGTTTTCAATTACTTACTGAGTTTTCCCCAGCTCACCCCCATTTACCCTCTCTGCGGGTTGAATTTGGAGTAAACTTTGGTGGAGAATCAGGTTGATCAATGAATGAAAGACTTTGGTTGATTGTAATTTAAATAGTTATCGAAAGGTTATTTGTTCATTTTTAAGGTGTTTTAGTAATTCAGATATCTAATCAAAATTCAATTTATTCGTTATTGAGATAATGACTACTCTGAATATTACTAAATGGATTGGGGTGTTACATAATCCGTCATTGAAGATACAGTGTAATATAAATGATTTTGAGAGGGATGTTGATGACTATTGAATAAATCTATTTGATCATACTTTGAAAAAGATTAATCGAAATGTACATAAATTAACTCAAATACCTTAAAAATAAAAGATTCGAATTAAGTTTTGTTGAGTTTGAGTTGAGTTGGGAGAAAAATTGAGTTTATATCTATATAATAAAATAGTTTACAATTTAAATTTCAAAAGATAAATAAAATGACTTTTGCTATTTGCGGTTGAGATCGCTTTAAATTTTACTTTAAAGTTAATCTAACGACTAATATTAACGCTCTAAATTTAATCTCATAAATATTTTTTAAAAAATAGTGTTTAAAACCGTCCCACCACTACCTCTACCACCATCACCACCGTCGTCGCCGTCACCACAGTCGTCGTCGCCGTCACTACCATTACCGCCACCGCCGTCGTCGTCGTCACCATCACCCCCACCATCGCCGCCACTACCACCATCCCTAACCCCACCACCGCCATCTCCACCACCATCATCGCCACCACCACCAACGTCGCCACCCCTATCATCGTCGCTATCGCCACCGTCATCGCCACCGCCATCGCCATCGCCACCGCTACCACCACCACCACCAACGCTGCAGTCGCCACCACAATCATTACCACCCACCACAATCATCACCGTCTCCTACCACTACCACTGTCGTCTATCACTTTTTACCCCACTATAAAATTGATGTTTAAATTCTTTTATTTTTTTTCTATGTTTGTGATTTAATTTTAGATATGAATATAAATATGTTTATCGTTTATCTTTTTTTATTACTTTGTACCATCAAGCACAGACAATAACTATTTTATATATATACTAAAGTTAATTTGTGTATAAAAATATGATGTAATATGAATAATTTAAAAAAAAATATTGTTAATTTTAAGATAAATCGATACCGTCGGACAAACTTATTCCATAAAGTATACATTACAGTTGCCGACCCTGTTTGGTGTACTTCCTTCCCAAGTTCTTTTCTTCGTATTCTCCCTCAATCGATTCCTGAAGTAACCTGAGCCAAACTTCAACACCTGATTCACAACACGCTATATACGTATATATACCTGCACTACCTCTGATACCATATCTTTGAAATTGTTTCGCAATTGTTATGACCAAAATGATGATCAGAATCCGAAGCCGAGACGGCTTAGAACGAGTCACAATCGAAAACCCACACACCACAATCGGCCAACTCAAAACCCTCATCGAGTCCCAACTCCGAGTCCCAATCCAAGCCCAAACCCTCTCCGCCAACCAAAACATGTTACTCGCGAAAACCCTAGACGATGTCGCTCGATTCACCGACATGTCCAATCCCCAAACCCCAATCTCATCTATTGGCCTCACGCACGGGTCAATCATCTACCTTTCCTATGAGGGTGAACGCAAAATCGCCGGACCCAATTTCAACCCCGCCGGCTCTTTTGGCAAAAAGATGACCGTAGATGACCTAATTGCAAAACAGATGCGAATCACTCGGCAGGAAAACCCTCACTGCGAGCTCGTGTCCTTCGATCGTGATGCTGCCAATGCTTTTCAACACTATGTGAATGACTCCCTCGCTTTTGCGGTGAAAAGGGGTGGAATTATGTATGGGACAGTGTCGCCGGAGGGGAAGGTGGAGGTTGATTTTATTTACGAGCCACCACAGCAAGGGACGGAGGATAATTTGATACTTTTACGCGATCCTGATGAGGAAAATTTGGTGGATGCTATAGCGATGGGGTTGGGGATGAAGAAAGTTGGGTTTATATTCACGCAGACGATAAGTCAGACCAAGAAGGATTATACTATGTCGAATTCGGAGATTTTGCAGGCGGCCGAGTTTCATGCCCAGAGTGATTTGAAGGAGTGGGTGACGGCCGTGGTGAAGTTGGAGGTGAATGAAGATGGGGGTGCCGATGTGCACTTCGAGGCGTTTCAGATGAGTGATATGTGTGTTAAGTTGTTTAAAGATGGGTGGTTCGAGACGGAGGTTGGAGAAGATGTGGATCCGAAGCTTTCTATGATGAAGAAGGATGTGGTTATTGGAGTGAAGGATACTAGGGAGGTTGATAATGATTTTTTCTTGGTGGTAGTCAAAATCTTCGATCACCAGGTACGTTCAAGTTAAAATTTGGTTGTTTATTTTATTGAATTTTGTATTAGGAAAGAGCTCGATATTATTCAAATCCAGTAGATTGAAGGTTGTGTGGAGGCTCTATGTAGTAATTGAATTTTGATGCTTAGACTTCAGCTATCACTACTAAGTGCTCCATCATGTGGATTGCTGTTGATATTGCTTATAAGGTTTCCAGGTTTACTTTCTGAAATTTGCTTGTTGAGAGGGGATTTTTAGTTCTATTTAAATCTTTTAACTATTAATAAGAGGTGGGGAGAATGCTACCCTAATACAACTAGGTTAAGCCTTAAAAGAACCACTCAGCTGTTGTTATTAAGGAGGTTATGAGGGTCCATGTTGCTTACCGCTTTTGGAGTCAGTTCCTAGCACTTGTGCTGAGGCATCAAGATTGAAGTTACTGCCAATCGATCCATCACAGAATGCAGGCCATCATCTCTTTGGAAGTATTTAGCTTTTGGGTAATTTGTAGAAATGAATAATTAGTTGGGAGAAATTGAGACCTAGGTTGTTAAATTCACAGAGTCTTTCTGATTTTACTTCCTACTGATTTTGGAGTCCCAAGTTCTGGGATGTGGTATTATTGTTATCTTAGTGCAAGAGAGGTTATAGATTTAAAAGGAAACATCAGCAGAAGCAAACCTTCTACCAATATTTAACGGATAGTCTTTGAATGAGCCAAATAGAAGTACCACATACATCAACTGTTTATTTCACAGACAAATGTGAGCTGGAGCCCTTTGCATGTGTTGTCATGTGGTTTTGTGTTATTAATCAGTTAAATGAAATCCCTCCCCCCCCCCCCAAAAAAAAAAAAAAGGGAAGGAAAACCCCCTTCTCTCTCCTCTTTTTTGGAATTTCAAAATTGAAAGTTTCCCAGAGTGATCTGTTAACAAAACTTGTTTTACCTTTTAAGGTATAAATGTCATGGTGGATCCTGTGGACCTCGTCTCATTCCAACTTTGAGATTTGTAATCATTTGTTTGTAATCCATGGTCTGTGCATAGCCTTTTGTTTCTAATCCATGGGTGCTAATCTGGGTACAGGGAATGGGAAATTTGGTAGTGACAGTATCCTCTGATATACTCCTGAAAATGTAAACTTTTTAACGCATGAGTTCCTTTTGCTTGATTTATTGAAAAATTAAAAGAAGATGGCATTCGGTGTAATTGACTTCATTAATGTATATATGTGTATGTAAATGGATTGTGCTGCCAGCAAAATCCCTTAGTGAAGGTAGATAAAGGTTATGAGTTAGTATTCTAGAAGAGCTGGTTTGTTTATGCACAGCTTATCAAGGATAAAATTTGTTGGGTTTCATGATGATGCATTGGATTATGATGTAGCATATAGTGTATTTGTGGAAAGGTCACTACCAGTATGGTTGTGCATTTGTGCTTATGCCAGATGTTTGGGAGGTTAGATTGGATGTATACCTAATATTGTGGAAGAAAAACTATAATCATCCTCCCTCCATTGATCCCTCCTCCAATGCAGTTGATCTCATCTCCAATTTAGTTGATCCTTCTTTCAATGCAGCAAGTTCATCGCCATTTGTGGATAACAGTAGGAAAAAAATGAAAAGGAAGAAGAACTGTAATCATCCTCCCTCCAATCCAGTTGGTCCCTCATTCAATATAGCAAGTTCATTCAATCCTATACCCAATCTAGCAAGTTCATCCAACCCCATATCCAATGCAAACATATCTTTCTTCAACAAAAATTGTAAATATTGGTATGATAACTAATTTTATTATAGACTTTAGTTATTAGAGAGGTGTGCTTTATTGGATCAATTAAAAGATGTGGGATATGATGTCATTTTTGCTCTTCATCAATGAAATTCTGTAATTGATATCAAAAAGACGGATAAAACATATAATATATTGGTGAAGATATTTTATGCAAGCATACATGATATTGATAGAGGTGATCATAAGTTTAAGTCCCTTGTTAGGAATGTAAGTTTTGAAGTAACCTCAAATTTAATTTCAAAAATATTGGGAGTTCGTCGACTCTTCGTTCCTAACGATACAATTACCTATCTATTCACGAATTCTAAGGACATACCTAAGTTGAAAAAATGATAATTTTACCAAAATAAATGGTAACATTATTACAAAAGGTGGTATTCTTACAAAAAAATAAGTGATAATATTAATAAAAAAAGTGGTACTGTTACATCATTTCATCAATGGTAAATCTTGCCTTCAATAAGTGGTAATCTTTCCTAAAAAAGATAATCTTACCCAAAAAAACAGTGATAATCTTGCTTTAAAAAGTGATAATCTTACAAAAAAAAAATAGTATTGTCACCAAAAAAATGGTATTCTTATCAAATAAAAGTGATAATGTTACACCCAAAAAGTTATATTCTTACACCCAAAAAAATTGTATTCTAACAAAAAAAAATGGTAATGTTAACTAAACAAGTGGTACTCTTACTTTAATAGTGGTAATCTTACCCTCAATAAGTGGTAATCTTCCATAAAAATTGGTAATCTTATCCAGAAAATAGTGATAATTTTGCCCAAAAAAGTGGTATTCTTACCAAATAAAAGTGATAATGTTACACCAAAAAAGTTGTATTCTAACAAAAAAAGTAGTAATACTAACCAAACAAGTGATACTCTTATTTCAACAATGTTAATTTTACCCTCAATAAGTGATAATCTTCTCTAAAAATTGGTAATCTTACCCAAAAAATAGTGATAATTTTGCCTCAAAAAGTGATAATCATATAATAAAAGTGGTATTTTTAACAAATAAAAGTAATAATATTATACCCAAAAAATTGTATTCTTACACACAAAAAAATTGTATTCTAACAAAAAATGTGGTATCCTTACCTCAATAGTGGTAATCTTGCCCTCAATAAGTGGTAATATTCCCTAAAAAATTAATCTTACCATAAAATAGTGATAATCTTATAAAAAAAGTGGTATTCTTACTAAATAAAAATAATAATATTGCACTAAAAAAGTTATATTCTTATACCCAAAAAGTTGTATTCTAAACCAAAAAAAGTGATAATATTAACTAAAAAAGTGTTATGTTACCTCAACAATGGTAATTTTGCCTAAAAAATAGTGATAATCTTTCTTAAAAATGCTAATCTTACCAAAAAAAAGTGATACTCTTGCCTAAAAAAAATGGTAACCTTGCATACAATTGATATTCTTACTAACCAAATCCCAATTACCAAGAACACGACTGGAACCCTTTTATTACTCTCTGGTTCATTGTATCCACATGATAATTTTATTCGAAAAAAAGTTTTAAATGTATTTGTTTTTTATTAAATATAAGCTTACTATAATCTCACCTACAAAATAATTTATAATCTCTTAAATGGTTTATAGGGATAAAAATAACTTTACAACTCTGTTTCTTTCTCATTCGTCTTTGTTTGAATTTTATTTTATTTTATGAATTTATAAGGCTCAATTGATAGCTGGTAAAAGTGACGGATTTCATCAACGGTTGGAACTTTTTCAGATCTATAATAAATTTTATTTTTTCAGTAACATGCCGAAAAGGTACGGTAGGTGCCGCAACAAGACCCTCGACGTTAGTCTATGAATAAAAAGGTTCTAATTCACTCAATCTATCCACGTCATTATATCCACTCAACATCAATGTCGTGTGACATCCACACGTGGACATGTGATTTGTTAGAGAGGACAAAAATTTAGGGAGAATGTTACAGCACTCAATATATTTTTCCGTATTATATTTTTATTTTTTTAATTAATAAAAATGCACGAGTACATTTTTTTTTCTTATTTTCTTATTATTTTTTCAATCAATAGACATAGATCATCTAATTTAAAATCAATAGTCCAATTTTTTTTTTGAGTACGGTACTAAGGAGGTATCCTAGTATTACATAATTTTAAAAGGTTTCAAAGATAAATATTTCTACGTTAGATAATAATGGTGGAATATAATAATGGTATGTTTGCTCATGAAGAAGGAAAGAACAATATATTCAACTTTTTACTTCACGAAAAAACATAATAGAGGTGAAAATGATATATCTTAAATTCGAGGATTTAGCACAACAGCAAGCTGTGTTGTCCTAGCAATTAAAGAAAATATTTATTACAACGACGATATCACGTAAAAATGTTGACATGATATCACCCATCAATCAATTGACCCCTTGAAGAGAAGGTAATATATCCTTATTAATGGATAGGGTCCGAGGATATAGCTCGGCCCGGAGTCCATTACTCAGGCATGAACCATGAACAGTGGTTTTACCTCGGCGTATAATGCATGGTGGAATAAGACGACATTGATTCTGATGTAATAACCACCAAATTTGTCCAATGAGCCACTAACATACTACATGCCTCCGTCACAAACGAGAATGGTAGCCAATCATCATCTCTTGAAGGAAACTCAATCTGCCTCACTTGTCAGTGATAACAACTACTTAAATCAGACCGACACTCAAGATGCTCTATAAATACTCTCACAAAGATAAACAATAGAGCAATGACTAGCAAATCATTCATCATCGTCTTTACACAAACACTTTCTCTATGTGAAATTCCAACACTAAATTGAACGTCGGAGGTGATTCAGATGGTATCATACTGGGGCAAAGTAAGGTCATCACAAAACTTGCAAGATCAAAATCATCATTCCGTTGATCTATCCTCGCATCTTACGCCAACAAACCTCCCACGAACTCAGACACATGTCCTCCACGCAAGAACTGATCCATCATGTACATAACAGTAACAATGATAGTTGAGAATGCAAGAACTGATCCATCATTTACACGACAGTATCCTCGCACCTTGCTCCAACGAACCTCCCACAAACTCAGACACACGTCCTCGTGCAAGAACTGTTCCATCATTTACATAACAGTAACAATGATAGCTGAGAATGGAAACCAAGTCGACACTTCTATGAATGACCAATTTCCGTAATTTACTTTAAGGGAACATTTTTTCTTTTCTCCACCATGAAAGGGGATACAGGGAAAGGTAGGAAAAAGGTTCCACCGGATTGGGGGGTAAGGTAAGAGATGATGATGTTGGGAGGATGTATAACATAGTAAGTGTAGGTAGTTATTGTGATTTCTAGGATTAAACAACTAATGCAACAAATAGTAAGTAAAAAATTGACCCGAATGAAGAATAATATCATCTCAAAATTTGTGTTTGACACTGTGTTTTTTAGTTATTTTTCATAAATGTCTGTCTCCCAATATATAATGATATAACACACCAAAGAAAAATTGTTATCTAAGGTCTTGTTGGTTTGCGTATAAAAAAATAGTATCCAAAATTATTTTTCGGAAGAGTTTTTTAAAAAAAAATTTAGTGTCACAAAACTTGTTTGATTATATGATTTCAAAAATAATTCTACGGAATAAAAAATATTAAAACTTATTTGAACAATAACCTAGAAAACAATGAAAATAAAAATATGGTGGCGGTAGTGTGGTGGATGTGGTAGTGGTGCAGTGTTATGGTGACGGTGGTGGTGGTGGAAGGGTGATAGTGGGAGTGTGGCGGTGGTAGTGGCATTGGTGGAAGGGTGGTGGTGTTGGTGGAAGGGTGTTGGTGTTGGTGGAAGGGTCGTGGTGCATGGTGGTGGGCGTGAAAGTATGATAGTAGTAGTGTTTTTTAAATTCTGAACAAGTTTCTTCTAAAAATTGATTCCAAAAATAAAAAACAATTTTTGAAACGTAAATCAAACAAGACCTCAGAATGTTTGCATCTCAAATGCAAGGGAGAAGGCACCAAAGTTGTGAACAAACATGAAATTTAAATTCGGATGGGCACAAAATTTTATATTTGAATTAACTCAAAATTTGAATGCTAACGGTAAAAAATTTAAATTTAGGTAAGAACTTATGGTGTGTTTGGTATGATGAAAAATATGGATGGAATATACAGATGAAAAATAGGAAGGAAAGTTTTCCATTTTTAATCCGTCCAAATTCAAGCAGAAACAAAAAGAAAACCTGAAGAAGAATCCTTCCAAGTGCTAAATTTACTTTTGTGCCCTATTTATAGTAACAGCTTGTCCAACTTTTGGGGGAAGAAATACAAATAGTGTCCACATTATTTTATTTGCTCAAAGGACAAGCAAAACAGATCCCCATTGCACCTTTTGACTCTATAATTTATAACAAATACAAGGGTATTCATGGTAATTGATAAATTATAGATAATAAAAAATTATTTTTTCTACTTTTCCATCCGTGCTACCAAAGAGGGAACTTAAGATATCTCCCTAAACAAACCAGGAATACATAAACTCATCAAGTGAATATACGGTGCTAATATTTTACGTGGAGGAGACTGCGTTCCAACGCTTAATAACCCCGAAGAATAAGCGAAACCCGCTTAAATTTTGACTCAAAGTTGACCCAAAATAAGGTTTTGGCCCAACAAATGACAGCGAGAAGACAATGTGGGAAAGACAATTGAGGTAAGCATGGGAGATTGTGTAGCATAAAGGCATGAATCAACACGAACCATTTGACCAGAGCAACAAAGGCAATACACACATTCTCTATGTATGTGGCAAAGGCATCGCAATCACTATCTTGGCCTGTGTACAAGCCTTAGGATGCATGCATGTGTATACATGGAGTAATGCAACAGGGACCCCCCCTCATCTTTTTATTAAAGAATCAGTCTTATTGATTGTTGTGGCGAGGTCGCCAGCGTTGGTGCAGAATATCATCCTCGTACAGTCATTTTGAAGCACCTTCAAACTGATCCCGGAGCAACTCATACTTCCTGAGTTCTGCCATAGAAAGTGAGGGAGACAATTCTGCTAAGACCTGCAAAGCTTGAACATAAGATCAGACACCAGCAGGCAGGTAGCACAAAAAAAACAAACTTCTTTTTCGCAAGGTTTTTCATTTTATAATGTATTTCTGGTATGGTGACACATCACAAAGGCCAATCATTTAGAAGAGGTGTTAGTCACTATATTAATGTAGAAAGGACAACTCAAATAAAACATAACACAATGCTTTGCTTGGTAGAATGTTCCATGCTCATAATCAACATAGTTGCAGGGATGCAGGCATGATATGTAGTAGAAAAATATGGTGGATTCTTTAAAAATGTTCTTCCCGCTCTCAAAATTGAAAGACTGGTTTATGTGTGTACAGGTACTGTTACAAATTATATAAATTGGTTAAAGTGAAAGGATATTAGATGATCGTAGGATTCTTTCTAAGTTTTTTTTATGGGAATTTGTCTTTATAAAAATGAACCGTAGCATAACTGCACTTATGCATAAGATAAGTCTGTTTAGAATCAAAACTGAATGAGCTACAAAGTTTACATTACAATAGCCATTCGAAAGCTTAAATATGCAAATTCCAACAGCTCCATCAGTCACTAAAAAGGACTGTCATACCTTAACAAAATCATCATATTCAACAGTAACAGAGTCAGCTTCATCATCCAAGCAAGTTGAATCCAAATGAGGAGCCAAAGCCTATAAAGCAATAAATACATATGTTTTAGCTGCTCTTCAAAACAACACATGTAGAATAGCATATGTCAGTCAAGTGGACCAATACTAGTGCAAAAAGGACCTTACCCTATAGGTGGTTGAAATAAGAGATACGCAGACACATCCTAAAAGTTCTGTTTCTACTTATGGAAAGTACAAAAGAAGAAGATAGGGGGGAATTGAACAAGAAGCCATATGAGGTGAAAATCTCATGTATGATTTTGAAGTGTGTCAGTAAGGGTGACTTATTGTCAACTTTTCCACTATCAAGACAAAAAAACCCAATTCTGCCTCACATAAAGTTGCCCACAATTAACCTCTAAATTTGAAGTCACTGCTCGTATAGCCTGTAGTGGCTGTAATTCAAGAGAACATCATGTAGTCATAGTAAGAGGGGTAAGTGTTAAGGCTTTACCAGGTGTGAGATGTCACATTGTTCAAGGCACCCTATAAAGTCTACTACGTTGGCCACTCATACACATGTACTGCTTTAAATTAGCTAGCTGAATCAAGTTTGAAGTTGACAATATGGTGCTGCCTAGACTCACCTTGCGCTTGGCAGCATGAAACCAAGCGTCTGCACACAAGGCATACATGTCCGCACCAGTAAAATTTGAGGGGCACTTCTTTGCTATTGCGAATAGTGATACATCTTTGTGCATTTTGAACTTCCGGGTCAGTGCTTTAAGGACTCTGCACAGTATAGGATATAATCATGTACTAGTACAAAGATACAGAATTATAACAAGTATCTTGCAACTTAAAGCAAGAAGAAAACTAACCTCTCCCTGTAAGATGGATCAGAATTAACTCCAACGTAGAGGAGCTTATCAAACCGGCCAGGCCTTAGAAGAGCTGGGTCAATAAGATCTGGTCTGTTGCTGGCTCCTATTATAAATAAGTCCTATAGAGGCCGCAGGGACAGGAAGGGGGGACCAAAGTTCCTGAGACTTAGAAGCAGCAGGAGGGGAAACAACTGGAAAAAGAAAAATGGAGCTAACCGTTCTTCAGTAATATTGCTAACCTGAGTAGAGTCATTTAGGCCATCAATCTCTGCAAGCATCTAGAAAAAAGGGAAATTTTAGCATCAAGCAACCATATTGAGTGAGGGAAAGAATTAGACATAATTAGAGTCCCACTTGTGTTACCTGAGAAACAACCCGGTCCATAACACCCCCTGAATCTCCAGAAGCACCCCTGGCTGGAGCAAGAGAATCTAGTTCATCGAAGAAGATAACACATGGACGTGCTGATCTTGCCTGCAGATAATATGGGATGTGATTTAAAAATAATATGAAGTAGCATCGGTGATCAAAGCCAAATTACCTCAAAGAAGAAGAAGAATATTCTACCTTCTGAAATATATCTCTAACATTTTTCTCTGACTCCCCTATGTACATGTTGATCAGTTCAGGCCCTTTCACGCTGAGAAAATTTAGGGAGCACTCTGTAGCAACAGCTTTTGCCAACAATGTCTGAGTTTTGCAACAGAATTAACGGTAAAGTTTATTTTTTAGAATTTTTCTTAAAACCTAAATAAAAAGTGACATGTCAAGAATCAAGGATTTACTTTCCCTGTTCCAGGCGGACCATAAAGAAGAACACCAGAGCGCTTGCGCAACCCGGATGAGAACAAATCCTTGTGAAGGAGAGGGAGCTGCAGACACCGTTCTCAAGAATCAGCCACATATCTTACAAAGAGGAAAAAAAAAAAAGAAAGCAAACTATTTTAAGCATGCACTTGAGAAACCATTCATCTGGAAGAGTGGACAGTACATGAGCATGACATAATAAAACACGCCTGAGGGAATAAAACACACCCTGTGAACTATGACGAATATGATCTAAATCGTCTTAATCTTGGCATGGAGTGGAATAGGAAGATATGTCATTCCAGATAATATCTATAAGACATCTGTTTGTCAACAGCCTCCAAAGTAAATTGTTCAATGAAACAAACCAAAAGGTAAAAATGTGTGAGACATTAGTCATCTGAGAGAGAAACCCTTTACCCTTCAACCTAACAGAATCTGGATATGACTCTGAAGTTCTGAAATTGATGCACATAAAATAACCTCTATAATGATGCAATATAGTAATTGAAGAGTCTCACCTGAACGGTATCTAGAATTGATTTCTTGACATCCTCAAGTCCACCAACATCCTTCCATTTCACGTTAGGAACCTACAGAAGAATAATCCAGAATCATTAGCTTGTTCAGCAAGAAGCTATATAGTTTCTCCAGAAAGGAAAACAACCCGCACAATGCAATTCAGTTAAAAAGAAGAAAATGACAGAAGAAAAAGTTCTTGACATTCTTCAACAGGGATGAAATAACATCGTAGCATTAAGTTATTGGAGATGGTTTTGCGAATTCAATTCACCTTTGGAGTACCCAGCGCTGATGCATTCCTTTTCTTGGATCGCTCCAATGCTTTGACCAAGTCTTCCTTTCCAAGGACCTGAGGTGCATCACTAATTGATTTATTGTCCTTCGCTGGTTTGGACCCAAGAGTTCTCTTGCCATCAAAATTTCCAGACTCAACATTGCCAGGCAGAATATTTCGCCTTGGAATTAAATTTGTACCAGCATCAGCAATTAAAGCACGCATATCCCTAGGCATGAAACCAGATGTCTGTCCAACTAACTCTTTTACAAGATCCTCTGTAGATGTCTGCAACAAACAACAATCTGATCCATCAAAGTCAATAATCTTGATCCAAGGAACACAAGCTACAACCAACTTCAACTTTTGCAATGGTGAAGGGTTGCAAGGTAATTTAGTGTAGAACCCAACACTGAAAAGTCAGAGAATGGTAAATGGCTCCACGATGAAGGATCTTAATCCTTAGCGAAAAAATTCAACCAAAAATTGACTTCAGGAGATATTTATACATCAGAATGGAATTATGGGCATTTTGAAGTAAACATACTACCCAGATAATATCACCAGATATATCACAAAATAATTACAGACCAAAACCTGAAAATGCTACACAAACTATGTGGCACAGAATATAATCCTGTTTTTTCATCAGCAATGTGTAGGCATATAATACTACAATCCTAAACAAATTTAATGTTTAGCTACTGGTATAAACTCACTGACCAGAACCCCAATGACTGCTAGGTCAGCCATGGATCATGTTTGGACATGTCAACTACCTGTCCCGGGATAACTATCTTTAAACCCAACATATAGAGGTGTCATACATGAAATATTATATAACAAAAGGGAAAGAACACAAATTCACGTACATCTGGAAGTATGTCAGAAACACGTTGAAGAGACTGGGAAAGCATTTTAATCCTTTGTTCTTCAGTCAAAGGTCCCATGCTAACTTCATGGCTGAAACAACGCCTAATAGTCGGAGGCAGCCCTTCAGAACTGTCAGCAGCTGCAACTAACAGCACTGGATGACCGCATATTCTTTCAGCATGCTTTACTTCCTGCATAATGCAACCATGATCACCCTGATGAAACTTTTTCTGAAAATCTCTAGCAAGAAAACATAATTACACCTCATCCCAAAGACATGTTTAGTCTATACATGTTTAGTTCTCGCTTTTCCAGTAATCTCCAGGAGGACATCCCTTTGTCCTTCCCTCCTTTATTTGATCATGTTTTAATTCTCAATATGAGATGTGTACAAGGATTTATGGGAACAAAGCAGAACAAAAGAAATATATATAATATTTTTATTAAATAGGTTTAGACAAGAGCGGCTCAAATCAAATATAAGAAACACGTGCTCATAAGAAAATAAAGATTTCCAGGTTATATTAAACATTTTTAGTGAACTGAAATAGCACCAAGAAATTGCATCTTACAGTATCATCATCTAATTTTTCTTCACAAAAATTGTCTTCATCTTCAATAACTGGCTCGGTAAATTCTCTGATGATAGATGCTATTTCTGAGTTCACGCCAACTTGATCATGTGGTGATCCCTCGTGGGAGGCTAGATTACGGAAAACATCAAAATGGCGGAGAAGAAGGATTGTTGGCGAGTATCTGTTCCAATTTTAATCCGTGAGTACCAAGAAGTGAAACCACCAAATAAAACAAACAAAACTTTATGGAGCAAAACTAAATATTTGCAAATAGAGCCAAAATTATGAGCACTATTGCACCATACACAAAAGCTCAATAGTACAAAATACCTGTGAGCTGCACTGAAAGCTTGGGCCAGTGCAACAGATGCCTTTTTTTCAGAGGATGGCATCAGATTGTGGCAACTATATTCGACCACATGCAGGCCCAATCGTTTAGCGACATGTTTAACCACAGTCCTCTTCCCACAGCCTGCAAGAACATCTGGATCAGCATTAACCAACAAATAAACACAAGCAGTCATACATGTGCGTGTGCCCACACACATACAGGAATCAGACAAGGTGGTTTTGAAATCAGACAGAAGCACTAACAGCAGTCCTTCCCATTAAAGCATGTTTCTCAAGCTGCAATCATTCAAGATCCAACAGGAATCTAGTATTCAGTTATCAAACCACAGCAGACCTAAATATTGCTTTCAATTTATCACAGTCCCCTAGGCCATTCCATTGCTTTTTACTGAAGTCTTCTAACTATACCATGCCAACAGAAACTAGTAACTGCTCCCACTATCACATTATATCCCCTTCAGAAAATATTATCAGCAAATCTAAGCAACAATTATGAAGCACAAAACGCACCAGCAGAACCATACAGCAGAACAGAAACTCTGAATCTTGACGAAAGTGCTGATGGACATAGAGGTGGTGTAAGTATGGAAGCCAAAATCTTGACTGTGTTCCCTTGTAAAGGCGCAAGTCCTTTTGGTCCAGGAATTAAAAGATCGGGGGGAACAGCAGAAGGAACACTCCCTCCAAGCACGAGAGCGGTTTGAGTGCGATTGACTTTGAGAACAGGTTGCTCTGAAGGTTCCATAGCAACAACCTGATGACATGAACTACTTACTAATGAGAGCATGTTGTGTTGTGGCAATCCTTGAGCATCTCAGGCAACAATGAAATAAAACAGGATTCACCTTGAAATAGATGACGTTATTACTTCCATTTTGCATCTTTTGGTTGCAAGGAATGCATATAGCTGATTTGCAATTCCAATTGATGCATATATTGAAAAGATCACCTCTAGCAAGATATCTATCTATTGCAAAGTAATTGTTTAATGCCAAATCAATCATTTCTTGACGATCTTCAGCTTCAATTGATGAACTCCCTTTGAGAGATTCAAGGAAACCACAATCTGGTATCTTCACAAATGAAACCCTCAAGTGTGAGGCATATCTTGGCAGTTGAGCCCACGGTTCAAGGGCTAAACTGACGACAGAGGCTTTTCCCCCTTTCCCATTTGTTTCATAATCCTCTTGACCTTCAAACAAAGTTGCCAGTGTCCCTTTCCCTTGGTGAACGAGAGATTTCAAACATGACACATGCAAGTTAAGGTTAAATACCAAGAGTGGAGACAGATAGGCAGCTTCCACATCCAACGGCGCATAGCTAGTTTGAGGGAAACTATATGAAGGAAAAACAAGCATGGTCTCTGACAATTGTGAAAAGTGCAATCCGTTGTTGGGCGTGTCTTCATGGATGTTGGGAGGATCTAGAACAATTGCTTGGCCAATTCTCTGTACATTGGTCTCAACGTTCTTGACAAGTATCTACATGATTAAAAGAAGGCAAAATAAGGAACACCATCAGTTAGTTAACTGAATAAGTTTCTTCTAGGACAAGAACACCAAAATTCCACACTAAAAAATTAAAAAAAAAAGCAGAAAATTATGTGCACATTCTTGTTGATAAATACCTTAGTCCCAGTTGAAGAAATATCCAAATAATGGCAAGGAAACTAAATAAATAGAGGTTTTCATGGAGACAATAAGTTGTTTGCATTTACGAAGTAATTTGTGTGTATAAAACATATAGTTTTCACCTTATCAGAAAACTTCTTACAAAACCTACCATCAATGAAAACACAATGTTCAAATAAAATTGCTTGTAAGTTTTATGAAGCTTATTTGCATGCCATTTGCAGTTTTGTGACGGAACTCCACACTCAGAGCCTTTCTTGTTGGACCATGAAGAAAGGGGTTATGTTACAGAATGAAGATAATTAATTCTCCATCACAATGGAAAGAAGAGGAATGGGAATTCTAGAGAGAAGAGAGCATCCAACAAACAACCGGGCCCAGAAGGGATCCAGTAGGACCATCGTATGATTGCCCAGTACCCAGACAGAGAGAGCCATAACAAGCCTAAATAATAAGATTGCTTTATTATTCCCGCTTTGCACAATTTCTTGGTTTCCCTGTTTTATTTTCCAATAAATCTTGTACAAATAAAGAAATAAAGACTGATACAATTTAGCCACATTGGTCCTGACCTCTTTACAAATTTTTTAGTTATCAAATTCTCATTATTTATCCCCAAATAAACAAAGAAAGACAATATCTTGATTATTCTGAAGTCATAACTAGTGAAGCATCAGCCAACAAATAAATAGAGAAAGGTACTCTCTTTATTATTCTCAAGTCACAAGGAGTGGAGCGGAAGAATCAATTGAATCGTGAAGTAAAAGAAAACCTACAATAGGCACCATGTTTTCCATAATACGAAATTATATGTTTAGGTTGTAGAGGAAATATAGGCAGGACAAGTCAGTGGTCGGTAATACAGAAATTCAAAATCCAATGAACGGAAAGATAGTGTACCAATGAGCCTGAAGTTATGGACAATCTTTTGAGAACAGACGTTGATAGCCCAACCAAAGCAGAGTCGTCGAGAGAAGCTACATCCGAACGATGCGAATTCTCCGTTCGTTCCTTCGATAACAGAAGAACCCCGGCCTGTAACTGTATCGTCTGCGATGTGAAATCGGCAGATAGCTGGTCACTTCTTTCAATTCCATCTCCTCCCTTGGTTCTGGATGAACTGAGCACCGAATTAACGAGAGCTTTGGTGGAAGAAAGCACCAAAGGCCTCCTTCTCTCCACCATCACACCAAATTTTGTACCTCAATCGAAACCCTAGGTTGTATAAGCGTCTCAATCGAAACCCTACATGTGTGTGTGTGGCTGTCTGTGGAGAGAGAGAGAGAGAGAGACTACCGGTCTGCGAGGCTTGGACTGGCAGACACTGTGAATTGCGCAAAGCAAGACGATCTTTAAAAAGCTGGCCTTCGGTATAATTTAACCGTCTGAAGAACTATTATAACGTTAGCAACCGTTATGTGGTAATGTCAGGCTTGGAAAGATTGGGCTTTTTACAGCCCAACTTGTAACATCTCCTGTGTTTCTCCGTTTTTTTTGTTGTTTATTGGGTCACAGTCATTAAGTATTGGTCCAAGATATAGGCCCAAGTAACGTTTAAGGTTCATGTTTGATCCACAATTTTACTCAAATGGTGAAAAGTTATTCTATTTAACAAAAATTGACTGATTATTTGATGGGATTGAATAAATATTGAATTGTTCAAAGTCCTTGATAAAATCTAATAAATGTACAACTTGACAAACTATAAGGGTGATTTCGGTGGTTGAACCTAAGATCTCAAGTTCAATACTTCTCATATTTTTTTAGGGCTAATCAACCTTGTTCTTCAAAGGTCATTTTCTAAATCCGCTTTGATTGTAATGGCCAGTGTTCGAGATTGAAGAAGCAGTTCACGCAAGTTTAGAATCTAGCAAAAAAAAAATACAACAAAGAAAAACTAGTTTGTTGGAAATCAAAAACAAAAGAGTAATACAATAAAATCTATGCTGTAAATTTATTTCTATGATTGCCCTTTTAAAAGGAAATAAGGAGTTTAAATAATTGAAAAAAAAACCTAAAACAAACAGCCCTTCTCTCATTACATTCCTATGTGAGTTTTTTATTCCCTTCCCATTTCATATATTAGTATTAGTCTGAGTATTTTTTTTTTTGATTTTTGGTTTAGTTTGATTTGTCTTTGTTCAAGCTTTCGCCCATTTTCATAAACTTAACTAGACACCGACGAATTATTTGAAGAAAAAAATGATTATCACGAGGTACATCAAAAACTTTTCAGATAGCTGTTGGTAGCTTCTGCATTGGATGCTCTATACTCCCTCAAACTCAGAGAGAGAAAGAGAGATATGCTCCCCCAAACCCACATCGGCTAAAGAACACCTAGCTTCTTCCTTTGTATAGAACAACTTCTTCTACACTTGCCAGCTGGGCCTGGTAACGCAGGCCTGTAACTCAAGTGAGGGCTTTGAGGTGGTTGGAGATTGAGATAGCCCAGAAGGTTGGGCTTGATGGGATTAATCGCTGGCACGCCCTATCCAAGATAGGAGCCGACTCAGGGGTCTTGAGCTAAAGCTTGGGGCTCGTGGGTCCTGAAGTGGAGGGCACTGCGTCAGGCTGGTTTCACAGAACAGCGAACACCTCCCCCTCCTACCAGTGGAAGGATAACGAGCCTGTTTCTCACAGGTCCATTATGGCCCAATGAGTTGCCCCAACCCAACAACCACTTTTTTTGTGTCACATTTTTTATTCAGATATAAGATTGGAAAAATATAGCAGACAATATGTGATTGACAACCTTAACCCTAAAATAATATATAAAGACAATACTAGCCTTATTTAATTTAGACCTCATATTAATAAAACTTGATTTATGTTAAACTTCCCACAATACTAATATGGCAAAACTAATCGTATTGCAAAACTAAATTAGTTATCAAGCTTTTTAAACTTGCCTAGAAGTCAGTAATGAAAAGAAAAAAGGACAAAAAAATAAAAATAAAAATAAATGGAAACTTACATTGCATCCAAAGAGCATGAAAGTTGGACAACTTCCTAGTAGCTTTACCAACATGCTTGCATCAATGTTGTCTTCGTTTACGATTACTTAATAGCAATTCCATAGACGGATTCACTAAAAAACCATCAATTCCCTAAAATCACACATCCTTAACAATAGTTGAGACAAGAAGAACAAAAAATAAAATAAAATAAAAATCCATAAGAGGCAGAAATCAAGATATCATACTTGCACATGACAATTACTTAAATACACCACACATACAAAGAGAAAAAAATGATTATCGCCAGGTATATAAAAACTTTTTAAGATAGCTGTTGGTAGCTTCTGCATTGGATGCTCTATACTCCCTCAAACTCAGAGAGAGAGAGAGAGAGAGAGATGGTCCCCAAACCCACATCGGCTAAAGAACACCTAGCTTCTTCCTTTGTATAGAACAACTTCTCCCACACTGATCAGCTGGGCCTGGTAAAGCGGGCCTGTAACTTAAGCGAGAGTTTTAAGGTGGTTGGACATAGAGGTGGCTCAGAAGGTTGGGCTTGATGGGATTAAATCACTGGCACACCCTGTCGGAGGTGGGAGCTGATTTAGGGGTCTTGGGCTAAAGCTCGGGGGCTGGTGGGTCCTGAAGGTGGAGGGTACTGTTGCAGGCTGGCTTCACAGAGCAGCGAACACCTCCCCGCTCTTAAGCACTTCCAATGTGCTTTTCGGATGCAACATGTTAATATACGGTGGTTATTCTTTCAATGATTCTGTTTAGAATTAGTTTAAATATGAAAATTTTAAAAGGTTTATAGTAAAATAAGTTAGGTCTTTGATTTTTTTACGAGAAACCACCATTTTTGTTCGATAAGATGTTAAAGTGGATGATTGACTCATTCTATACTAGAAATAATCGCACGAAATTCTTTGATAACACGGATTTCTATTTTTTAATGATATTCCAGGATCAAGACAATTGATTGAATCTTATGAAATCATTTCATAGAAGTTCATTGATATCTTTCTTTTATAAAGCAAATTGATCAATAATTATGATTTTACGTATGGACAATTCATCTTGGAGTATATAGCAACCTTTTTAAACCCAAAAATACTTATTTTGGCTGATTCAAGAAATTGATTTTATGAATTTATTATGTTGTGAGTCTCACATAATTTTTTAGTTTATTATATTCATAAAATATTATTAGTAACATAAAAATAATTAAATTTTATATTTTAAAAACTATTATGCATAATTTATACATATATATTTATTGTATATAATCTTTACATACATGTAATTATTTTCTTATTTTAACACAAAAAAACCAAAAAAATTAGAAAGCCACACTCGAAATTGATTTTTTCAGCTTTTTAAAAAACATCCCCAAATAATTTTCAAAGACTTTTTTTTTTTTTAACTCTGATGAGGTTTGCTGTTAAGCTTTTATGTCAAAACTTAATTTTTTTAAAAAAATTTTAATATGCTTTATAATATTATAGTGTTATTTCAATTGATCTAACTAATCATAAATGCAGTAAGGTTCCAATATAATTGATATATTAATAATTTTTTCTATTTTATTCAATGATTTATAAGTAGAATCTTAATCAAATTAATTTTAAAAAATTTAATTTTCAAACATCACTAAAAAATCACTTTTAATTACAAAATTATATAAAAAATAAAACTTAAATTATTTATTTTCTTTTTTATAATTTTTCTCAAAGTTAAAATAACAAATCTTGATAACATATATAGTTTTCAAAAATTCTATAATGGAACACGAGCGATGAAAAATAAGTTTGGTAAATTTGAAATGATATTTAATTCAAATATATATATATATATTAAATATTTATTTATTAATTTTAAAAAAAAATATTTATGTGCAAAACACGTAAATTGCTAATGGCTATAAATTATTTTTCTACTTCGGCCCATGAGTTCTCTGATTTTATTAAAATTGTGTAATGGCCACAAATTTTTCTTTTTTATTTATTTTTGTAATATCATATTCGAAAATAAATTCTCGCTATAACTTAAATAATAAATTATAAAAAGTTATACACATGTTATGCTCTAATTGGTTGAAAATAAGAGTTCACAAATATACTTTAAAAAATAGTTGTTACTAACCAAAAATGACAACGAGAATAAAATATAAATTCAAGCATCTTAAATCCAAATATTAGCAATCACTTAGGGTTAGACCATACAAAATTTATCTCTCATGAATGCCCTAATCTCGACGTGAATAATCTGTCTTTGATCGGATCAGGAAAAATATTAGTCAAAATACACGTAAATTAATCCGTACACCTCTAACCGTTAAACGAAAAAAAACAAAAAAATAAAAGATAGTCGGAGAAAGAATAGAAAGAAATGAGGGTGAAAATTGAATAGTGTCATCTCCTGGTTGGGTTCCATCTCCCAAGTGGCTGTTACCGACATTCATTACAGCTAAAATGTAGACAGGCCCGGCTCATTCATTGCAAAAAGCTATTATTATAGCACGATTACATTGCAATCATACTTAATAATGACAATCTCACTAGACCTATTCTAAGCATATGTAATATGTTACACGGTCATAAAACCGCGGGGGCGGGGATAAGCTGAGGATGTCACCCCAATATACCCGAAGAAGAAAATTGACAGCAAACCTCATCAGCATCTGTGTTTTTTTGTGAAGTTGCATATCAAGAGAGCCATCCCACTCCCAATCTAGATCCTGGAACTATCCAAGAGTGATGTAAAATCAGCTAGCAGTCATTGACACAGATTCTGCAAGTTCTTCTAACAATTCTTTCTGTTCCATAGTAGCACAAGACTGCAAGAATAGATGTAAGTGGGCTTAACCTTAACAACACAAGCAATATTGGTATTATGAAAATTATTTCTGGGAAGTTTCACCACATAATAAAGAATATAGAAATTAGCTGATGAAATAATCAAGATGATTTTTCTTTTTCTCTTTTTCATTTATTAACGAGTGTTGTTTGGGGACGGACAGGATGGGCATCCTGGCGAGATTTTGAAGCAGATGTACCTGAACAGCTGTCTCAATATCACCATCAAGAAATGATGTTAGCTCAAAGTTCATTTTCAGCCTGTGGTCAGAAACCCTATTGTCCTGAGGCAGAAAAACAATAAACTTTGTTACCTGCTGCCGGAACTTTGAAGTTTCAGAAAGCGAAATTGGATTGTCAGTTCTCAAACCATTAATGAGAAGCTAACTAGAGAAATTCCCAACTTACAAAGGCTGGATTCTGGTCAACATCACAAAAGGCTCCCAATAACATAGTCATACGACAAGATTGGTGCACGCCATCCTCGATGGAAAACTTTTAAATGTACATTTCAAAAAAGAGAATCTTTGAGCCTTTATACGGATCGTGGGTACCTTGTAATTGTAGGTCCGGATCTTTTCTGCACGAGCTCCTGTACCAACCTGAAAAATTTAGAAATAAAATGAGATACACACCATTGTCAAATGCCTTATAACAGAACATCAGAACATTTAGGTTCCATCTGTTTCGAGAAAATGTATTGCTCCGTGGACTGCAGAATTTACATGAACCATCTACTGAAACCATACTTCTAAGAGGCTGTCAGCCTGTCACCCAAAATGAAGTAATCGAAGCTCATTTTCAGCACTTGAAAAAGATGAAAATTGTTGTCATCAAAGTGCAAGTATTTGCATTATTTATCTGAAAAGAGAGTGAAGTATCTATCTGGTTGAGCATGCAAATAGTAATAAAAACCTATGACAATCTGTCTCGAATGAGTATATATATCCCAAGCATATTTTGAGGATACAAAGTGCAAACTCAGGTCATATGCACTCTATGATTTTTTGCTCTAATGACATGGAGTGAGCACTAAGAAGCACTGGCTGGGGAATGTCAGGGGTACTTAAACTCATCATATGGGTCAAGGGTTCATAATACCTTTAAGAAAGAAAAAGAAAAAAAAGAAAAAGAAAAGAAAGGTTACGAACAAGGTCAAATGTCAAGGAAGTCCCCTTTGCTTCATGTTAATCTAGGTACCCTGAGAGAAAAGATTTTGAACCTGCGATTTTCTCTGATTCCTGATCAACTCTTGCTGTTCCCTCAGTTTGATTTCATACCTAAAACAAGGTTATGGATCAGCGCAATTAAATCCGAAAATGGTGAGGAAAAAACTATATATCAAAACCCATTAATAAATAAATAATAAATGAGACGGATACTAAATAAGAACAAGGTAACAAAAAATTCAATAAGAATAAACTTCCCCACTCGAAGAAACAGTGACATATTTCCAAGGACCGAATTCTTACAGTCCCCATTGGCCCCATAACTGTGAAGTTTTCTCTTGAAACAAATCCATGGCATAAAAGTAATGTAAACTTGTTAATAATTTGATAGATGTTAAATCAATTTCTTTGCAGCCAAATATCCAGAAAAGCTGTTATGTTCCCAACATAGCCAACATGATCATTATTGTAATATTGGGTTGGATAACTGTTAAATACAGGTGGCCAATAAGCTTACTTTCTCTTGGGATAACAAATACCTATAAGTCCACTAGAGGATGCAAGTCCTAAGACAATGCCATATGGAATGGATGACTAAATTATTATTACAGATACACCAGTTTTAATGAGGGACTCTGCACATTAACTTTACGTCTAAATGAGTAACTTTCTGAATAACTGCAAGTCAAAGCTGATAGCATTATACTAAAAATGTCCCTCACAATTTTGCACGCAATAATTGAAGAGCGCGATTCTTGTTTTGAAGTTGAGTCCTTTCTTCAGTGCAAAAGATTCGTATCCCAGTTGGTTTATGAATAAGATCAGCAGCAGTCTCCACCTTGTTGACATTCTGCCCTGCATAATAACTCCAGGCATAAGATAGGACATAAACGAATGGAATTTGTTGGCAAAGAAAGCACAAAATAGACAGGTACAGGGAATAGGATGTTATCAAGCATGCCATTCCAAATACAAGAAACCAATCCACTAGCTAAACATATTATCACAGCGTTTGCTGATCTATACCTCCAGCACCTCCAGACCTTGCTGTCGTGAGTTCAATATCTTTTGGATCAATTTCAACCTCAACTTCATCAGCCTGAAATCAAGTGGCACAAACACAGCGAACCCAATATGATGGAGTGAAAGAGCTGAACCAAAAAATTTCTATAATTGGGTCATGTTACACAGATAAACAAACTCTTCAGGACAATTCATTTGTTTCTTTATTTATTAATTTATAGCCCTCTCAGAACAATTTATCAGATGGCATCCATTGCGAAGCAGTGAATCACGAATTGTTGCGGAGCACTAACTAGGCCAAACCAAGAAAATCAGAGATACAGGCAAATTTCCTAAAAGATTCAATCCCAATAATTTTTCTTACATAATTTTAGGAACATGAATACGTGATAGTGTCTAGTACATGCACACTAGTCAAAACCCTCATGGTCTCAAGATGATTTGGATGTCATAGAAAGGGATAACTTTCTTAGCGCTGCTAATAGTTTAGAGAAGTGACCTTGGAAAAATTCAGCACCAAATATGGTGTGTGTTTATGTCAAATGAGAAACAAACTATACCTCCGGCATGATTGCCACAGTAGCAGTTGATGTGTGCACACGGCCCTGCGCTTCTGTCTGAGGAACACGTTGAACCCGGTGGACACCCGACTCAAATTTTAATTTGCTATATACACGATTTCCTTTTATTTCCATCACATATGTCTTGAATCCTCCTTTTTCAGTCTTTGAGAAAGAGAGACAAATAACAATTCAGTATCAGAAAATTATGAGGTTAATTTATAGTACGTGATTACAGTGTGGTGTACCTCAGAGCTTGAAACTGGGGCATACTTCCATGAATTTCGTTCACTGTATCTCTGATACATCCGCACCTAAAGAATCATCAAAAGTTAGCATGGAAAAAGAGATGTCACAAGTGATATTGAAGATGCCTTGATGTGTTTAGAAACATCTTTATGGTCTTTGTGTAGATTCTTTGTTCAGGGGACATTAATGGAGATAGGGATTTAGGAGAGTGAAATTGTTCCAATCTACACAGAAATTTCTGTAATTTCATTAGCAAGGTCATCAGCAAAATCAATAATTAACCTCCTAAAATAACAAATCAAGGCGTCATCAGAACTCAACGAAGTGCCACCTTGCACCGATTCATTGTTCATAAAAAACTGGAAGAAGACTACATACAAAGTTGTTGCCATATTTAGAAAAAATACAAAACCGAACTGTAAGGATTTCTTGATCGCAATATTTAAAAATTCGGACCATCAATATTATTTTGGAAGATTTGTTACATCATACTGACTTTTATAAACTTTAATTTCAAATCTAATGTTTTCTTCTCGTCTGTAGTAGTGTCAAAGCCAGCATGTGCATCATAAAATTCAACAGAGAATCTCTCTTCTAAATTGACATATATAACAATTTACTAGCAGACATCATGAACTTTCATATACCATTTCCTTGATAACATCAAATCTATAAATTTGAAAGGACCAAAACAAATATGTACCTACAAGATCACCCGCCCATAGTCCAGCCTCATCGCCGCCAGTACCGGCCCTCACTGCAAGTAATCAATAACTCATGTGCAGCCCAAGTTGTGGTAGAACCGCAAAATTTCAAATAAATCAAAAAGAGAAAGAACAAAATGTTTATCAGCTTTTACGACTTATCATACAGTTAGATGCTTGACGTGTGAAACTGATGCTTATAAACATCTCATTTAAGATTTCAGTCATTTGATAGGTGCACCATGAAGCTAAAACCCTTTATCAACCAAGGATGAATACAAAGGCCATGATGCCTCCGAGCCCCCCAAAATTTCCAATGTATTCCTTAGCTGAATGTATAATTTCGTATATAAGCCCTACTTTTTGGCCAGTCAATGGATCGAATCCATTTAGTTGATATGTATAGTCGAATCCATTATATCCTATTTACGGTTTTGGATATAAATATACCAATATCCAAATTTAGCAAATCTAATCCGACTTATACATGTAAACATAGATAAATATAAGATGCAATAAAGTGACTATTTGATGAAAATGTATTGAAAATTAGATGTAACTTGCCAAAATACAACTTAATAGATTTATTCCGATCAAATCATATTTTTAGATCAAATATCCAATTCTTAACAAATTCGAAAATTGACTGTGAAAATCAAATCCACTGGATAATCGGAATGGAACTTTTTAACCAGATTTGGATCGGTTGAAATTGATCCATGGACACTGGACAGGCCCACACACACATATATATGTATTAGTTTCTAAGCACAGGAATACAAAATTTTCCTTTTTAAGTCTAAGTCCCATCCAAATCTTTTCAATAAGGCTTCATTATTAATCCTAAATAATGGTACTTTAGTCAAATTGGTCATTGTATGAATAATCTACCAATCAAATGAAGAGTGTTTCCCACATATCACGAGACATCGATAAGTTCTATAAAACTTTTTGCCAACTTTGCAATATCCAGTATTTACCGTCCTCTCCCCAACAGAAAATTTCTTAGCTCCATACCAGTTGGTACAAAACTCAAGTTGACACTACAATCACTTTCTATAAACTCACCTAGGATGCATCTCAAAATAAAAGACATATTGATTCCAAACTCCATATCCATGAATAATTGATAATAGTGCAATGCAACAGATGCATTAAAGCAACTATATAGAATTGATTCACAAATTCCTCAAGGTTTTTTCTTTAATACGTAAGGGACAATGCCAATCAAAGATGATCATTTAGTCCTTCTTTTTGTATGTGGTGTCTTTATATACCTTCCTCATTCAATTACCTTATGTTCACTCGCCATAGTAACTTAAAATGTCAGCTTTATTGCCTTCCTTTATTACATTGAATTAAAAGAGTACAACTTGAGGAATTCAATTTATTGCCCCAGATTTTTGGAACGAGGGAATTAAACATACAATGAAGGACTACTATCTCATAGAGAAAGTACAGAATTTGTACCTTCAAGCATTATATTTCTTGAATCAAGAGGATCACTGGGAAGAAGCAATACCTATAAGTGTAGGGTGAAATACATCCATATGAAATTGAAAAGCAAAGAGAATTAGAANATCTTTATGGTCTTTGTGTAGATTCTTTGTTCAGGGGACATTAATGGAGATAGGGATTTAGGAGAGTGAAATTGTTCCAATCTACACAGAAATTTCTGTAATTTCATTAGCAAGGTCATCAGCAAAATCAATAATTAACCTCCTAAAATAACAAATCAAGGCGTCATCAGAACTCAACGAAGTGCCACCTTGCACCGATTCATTGTTCATAAAAAACTGGAAGAAGACTACATACAAAGTTGTTGCCATATTTAGAAAAAATACAAAACCGAACTGTAAGGATTTCTTGATCGCAATATTTAAAAATTCGGACCATCAATATTATTTTGGAAGATTTGTTACATCATACTGACTTTTATAAACTTTAATTTCAAATCTAATGTTTTCTTCTCGTCTGTAGTAGTGTCAAAGCCAGCATGTGCATCATAAAATTCAACAGAGAATCTCTCTTCTAAATTGACATATATAACTATTTACTAGCAGACATCATGAACTTTCATATACCATTTCCTTGATAACATCAAATCTATAAATTTGAAAGGACCAAAACAAATATGTACCTACAAGATCACCCGCCCATAGTCCAGCCTCATCGCCGCCAGTACCGGCCCTCACTGCAAGTAATCAATAACTCATGTGCAGCCCAAGTTGTGGTAGAACCGCAAAATTTCAAATAAATCAAAAAGAGAAAGAACAAAATGTTTATCAGCTTTTACGACTTATCATACAGTTAGAAGCTTGACGTGTGAAACTGATGCTTATAAACATCTCATTTAAGATTTCAGTCATTTGATAGGTGCACCATGAAGCTAAAACCCTTTATCAACCAAGGATGAATACAAAGGCCATGATGCCTCCGAGCCCCCCAAAATTTCCAATGTATTCCTTAGCTGAATGTATAATTTCGTATATAAGCCCTACTTTTTGGCCAGTCAATGGATCGAATCCATTTAGTTGATATGTATAGTCGAATCCATTATATCCTATTTACGGTTTTGGATATAAATATACCAATATCCAAATTTAGCAAATCTAATCCGACTTATACATGTAAACATAGATAAATATAAGATGCAATAAAGTGACTATTTGATGAAAATGTATTGAAAATTAGATGTAACTTGCCAAAATACAACTTAATAGATTTATTCCGATCAAATCATATTTTTAGATCAAATATCCAATTCTTAACAAATTCGAAAATTGACTGTGAAAATCAAATCCACTGGATAATCGGAATGGAACTTTTTAACCAGATTTGGATCGGTTGAAATTGATCCATGGACACTGGACAGGCCCACACACACATATATATGTATTAGTTTCTAAGCACAGGAATACAAAATTTTCCTTTTTAAGTCTAAGTCCCATCCAAATCTTTTCAATAAGGCTTCATTATTAATCCTAAATAATGGTACTTTAGTCAAATTGGTCATTGTATGAATAATCTACCAATCAAATGAAGAGTGTTTCCCACATATCACGAGACATCGATAAGTTCTATAAAACTTTTTGCCAACTTTGCAATATCCAGTATTTACCGTCCTCTCCCCAACAGAAAATTTCTTAGCTCCATACCAGTTGGTACAAAACTCAAGTTGACACTACAATCACTTTCTATAAACTCACCTAGGATGCATCTCAAAATAAAAGACATATTGATTCCAAACTCCATATCCATGAATAATTGATAATAGTGCAATGCAACAGATGCATTAAAGCAACTATATAGAATTGATTCACAAATTCCTCAAGGTTTTTTCTTTAATACGTAAGGGACAATGCCAATCAAAGATGATCATTTAGTCCTTCTTTTTGTATGTGGTGTCTTTATATACCTTCCTCATTCAATTACCTTATGTTCACTCGCCATAGTAACTTAAAATGTCAGCTTTATTGCCTTCCTTTATTACATTGAATTAAAAGAGTACAACTTGAGGAATTCAATTTATTGCCCCAGATTTTTGGAACGAGGGAATTAAACATACAATGAAGGACTACTATCTCACAGAGAAAGTACAGAATTTGTACCTTCAAGCATTATATTTCTTGAATCAAGAGGATCACTTGGAAGAAGCAATACCTATAAGTGTAGGGTGAAATACATCCATATGAAATTGAAAAGCAAAGAGAATTAGACAAACTCAATGTTTGGACTTGTAACATCAAGACAAAAATAAATAAAATATTGAAACCTTGAGCTTCTCCTCAAGCCCTTTGAGTTCACTGGATAAAGATTCAATTTCAGAAGCTATCATCTCGGCCATATCTTCATCAACTCCCTCCTCTTTTGCTAAAGCTGGAATGACGATGATGGGTTAGTAAAGATGCTTCGGCTAACACGGACTCTGGATTTTTACCAGAATCATTTAACAGAGGCATGAAAGCAAAAAAGAAAAACCTTTTGATTCATCTAGCTGTTTCTCACAATCCTTGAATCTTCTGAATATTGCCACCACCTACTAGTTCAAATAATCAAGGGGTAATGTTAGTGAAGACCGAAAAATATTTGCAGCATGTTTCGCATTCACCGGCAGGGAGGAGCAAGATGAACGATGAGAACTGCAGTACCTCATTAAGCTCTGCCACAGATTGAGCCAACTTTTGGTACTCAGTATGATTTGACACCACATCTGGATCAGCCAGCTTGACCTACAACTGATATTGTAAGACTTCATATATTTCAATAATAACCGAATCAATTAATACATTGGCACCATGGCACCATCATTTATAGTGGATATATGAACTTTTGTGTATATAAATCTATTAGTCAGAGCCTAAGACATGCAGATATACATGTATCGAGCTACACATTTGTCTGCATACCAAGTGTACGCTTCTCATATGTTCATTGTAAACAGCCTCGACCATGAAGCCCTCTCCCTCCGCGTGGAAGACTTATGCCTGTGCAATGTTTGGCTGAGGGATTCTTAAAACATTCTGCATGATACAAAGGTGTATGCACATGCTCTTCACTTGAACCTTCCTGAATTGCTGGAAGGGTTCTAGAGGAGTTCCAACAGGCGCAAACAGATAGGTAATTGTGGGTCAAAGTAAGTGTGATTTGGGCAATAATTAGCTTTGAATTGGATGCAAGCGTCTACTAAGCCCTGTGAAAGCTTATAAGGCATGTTAAATGACAATATATGGCCGCCATCTTAATTCTTCATTATTCAGAAATTTCATCAAGAACATGAATACACAATAATTTGATCAACTGTAGTATAGTCGGTGTCTTCTCCACTTTCTGAAGTTTTTCTTTTCGCAATGCTCTATTATATTTGTTAAACTCTTCAAGCATTCTCATAAGGCCACACAACTAAAATTTCTAACTATTTTAAATTACTCTGCTTAAATACAACATTTTCATCAATTGGCCCAGTCTTGAAGACTTCTCTTTAAGCGTTGGCTTACATTGGGAATAACCCTTGTCTGAACCAAGTGATTATAAGCAGAAATATAGGCCATGCTCATCAATTTTAACCACCACCAACCCACCCCCCCCACCAAAAAAAAAAAAAATGAATTGGCCTAAATTCCAACATTACTCCACAACAACAAATTCTTAGGGAAACCAAGAACAGAAAATAACTTAACATCTCCTTGAAAGGAAAATATAAGAACATCAAAGAAGGCTACTGTGTTCTAAGTAGACGAAAAAGGGGTAAAAAATAAGAAGAATAAAGATTCTGCATACCGACAATTCTTTCCACGTTTTCTCAGCAGATTCCAACTTTGCAATCAAATAAGGCTCCTGCAATTTCATCAAAACCATAACTAGAAAAACAAACAAAGACCCATTTAAAGATTTGATGAAAAATTTGTATACAAACCGCCATGCAAACGATTCTTCGTCTAGGGGGTGTACGGCTCGGTGAGGGCCGAAAGAGGTCTGGCCTTTTAGAAAAGTGCCAAGAAGGGTATCGAGCTGGGAATTGAGTCGAACATGTTGAAGAGATTCGAGAAGTGAAGGCCGTCGTTAAGCTGCTCATGCTTAACTCTGTTTGAAGATTTGTGTGCAAGTGCAATAGCCAACAAGTGGATTGGATAAGAGAAGGGGCTGAGACCCTGTTATTGTATGGCAGATGAGAATGTAATGGCGGAGAAGAAAATTTAGATCCCATAGTGTAGCGGGCCGGGTTGAATAATCCAATATCACCACTACCGAAATGAACTAAATAAAACAGTGACCTTAGCGGCAGTAAAAGAATAGACATGATAGTGAATTAAAAAAAATTAATATATTTTATTATATATTGTAGATATTAGAAAAATTATATTTTTGAGTTCACTATTTTGAGGTCACTGTCATCTTCTAGTTGGTGGTGGTGAATTTCTATGGAAGAAGAGTTGAATTTACCTACGGGAAAGATAATGACTCTCGTTCGAACTTCGATCGTACAAAATGGATAATATTGTCATTTTTAAAAAAAAGAAAAATTAGTTTGGATTACATAACAAAAAAGTTCAACTGAGTTGAATTTCATGTCTTAAAAAGTACATGTCCGGACTTATTTATAAATTAAGTACGAAATTTGTAATTTTTAACAATTTTCACATGAATTAAATTGTTAACATCAACAATTTAATTGACTTTCGGCTCAAAACTCACTTAATAAACAAATTTAATCTTTTAAATACTTTTTTTAAAATACAAAATCGGTAATATAATTTAATGGATCATAATTAATATGAATAGAGGACGATTGTAGTGTCCATAAAAAAAAATCTATAATACTTTTTTTTTCAATTGCATGATTAATTGTGTCTAACAATCCATAACTCTGAAAATTACCTATATGAATATATTTAAATATTGAAGTTTTTTTTTTATTTGCACATATGTATCGTGTGTACACGACCCTAATAATTAATAAAGGAAAAGGGGAAAGAATTGATGTCTTGTCTCTTTATTAATAGTTGCTAATCTATATTATTTATTATTACTATAAAATGTCAACAAAAGTGAAAAATTTTCAAACATTGTATAGGTAGCTTTTGTTTAGATCTGTTGCTTATTACATTAATTGTGAAATGAAGAGGATATAATAATTCTTTATTGCAGGGCATTTCCATTGGAAGTGGATGTGGTGTGCTTGTTTAGAGACCTGTTACAGACAATATTGGTTATCCTTTGCCTTTGAATGTTGAGAAGTTTTAGGAAAAAAAAAGTGTATCATTCCATTGCAGTGCCAAAGTTGGTCTTGCTTACACAATGCAAAGTAGTTGAAGTCATCATCAGTCCATACACAGATGGTAAGCAAACTCATTCAAAAAAGTTGCTTCCACATAAGAAAAAAGTAATTTCACCATCCTATGTATGAATCAAGCACACAAAGATATTATCACCATTTGGTTGATACAAAACTTAATGAAAAATAGGTTCTATATCCGCCGTTCTAAAGTTACTGAAAAATATTAAAATCCATACAAACTGTTTCTTATTGATGCATGTTTACTAGCGATTGAAAATATAGTATTTTGTAAGTAATTATATGTTGTGACTCGGGAGGTTTTTTTTTTGCTACAGGGTATGTAGGCTTACGCTGACCACTACCTTGAACTTAACGACTGGTCACTGTAGCTTGAGCGACTCGGGAGGTTAAATCCTTCTATTTGCTTGATTTTTTCATTGACCAATTACTTAAATGTTGCCTTGTACATAAATTTCTTTAAAAAATTTCCTATTGTGTTACTAATACATCTAAAAGTACTTGGTCCTATTCTTGTTTTGCTTTTAAGCAATCATTCTTATGTTCTCATGTGGCACAACTGTTGCGGTCTAATTCTTTGAATTAGTTTTTATATTTTGACCAGTGTATTAATTGAATTTCTTGATCTGAAAATATTAGTTAGTTTCACAATTTACTAATTGTCATGATTATACGGAGCAAAGTTGGCAAATCGTGTATTTGTCGGTTGTTTCCTCTCAATATTGTCAACCCCAGTAGTAAATTTTCTAAACACTTCATGATAATGCGTCTGGTTGCTCATTTGCTGCCACAATCTGACCAAGTGTTATGTTTTGCTCATTTTATTCTTGAAGGTCAATGGTCATAAAGACATTAGTTGAGCACAATTTTAAGGATGTTTTTTATGGCTAAGTGACAATTGGGACCTTTTCTCAGACAATTTTTGAACATGTTCATCCTTGGTAATTAGACTTTTAGTAATTGTATGACATGTTGAACCGATATGCTTTATTTTCTTTCTGGTATATCGAGCCGGCCATTCACCACAGGTCAAGGACTGGCCTCAAACTTGAATTCAATATTAACCTTCATATATCCTCTCCATTCTTTTCATGAATGTTATTTTCTCACCCATTGAATTCCTTTGTTGTTACTTTAAGCTGAGATCCAATTATGGTGAAGGAAAAGATAATCAAACTATATCCAATTCTTTGTTTTCAAGCTGCTACTTTGTTAATCTGCATGTACAATTATACTTGAAGTTTGAATACCATCATGAATTTTAACTTCTTTTTGTTTTGGAATTCAAATGATTGGTTGTGTCCTTAGTGTCTCACTGGGGTATTTGTGTTTGATTGGGTCTTTTATTGCTCAAGTAACTGAATAAGTCTATTATGTTGTGCATCAAAACTTCCATGTCCCAGAAAATTCCTCTAAAGTAATTCATTATTATTTTTTTTTAATTTTCACCAGTTGGAGTTATGTGCAACAAAATTGAGCATTAGCAATTCATAAATATTATAGTCATTTAGTCTGGTTGGAACAACCAATGGGATTGGTGCAGAAAGTGTATTTTTGAGAAAATTGGATCTTTAGCTATCCTGTAACCGATAGTTAATGGAAAGGAAAATGTATAAACTTCTTCAAGACAAGCAACAAACTCTTTTCTGTTTTTCGACAATTCATAAGCATAGTAATTTGTTTTCATCCCAAAATGTAATCACGTGTCTCGATGTTTGAATTTTAATATTTCAAAACCAGAGTGATAAAATGTTTGTTGATCAAAGATGTTTTGAATGACACCTTATTGTGTTTCATTCAAATGCATAATATTCTTAGTTCTTCTCGATCCAATTTGTTGCGGTGATTTAAAGGTCCGGATTCGATTCGATCGTATGTGATTGATTGAAATGATTATAGAGAAGATGAATTGTGACGACCTGTATATAAAATAATCACTAACACGCTAATTTAGGTCGTCAATTATGATTTTATACAATTAAAGGTTATTTTTTAAAAAAAAATTAAATAAATAAATGGACTTTTTATGTGAAAACAAGTCAAATTATTATAATTTAGGTCAAATTTCATAATAAGATAATGAATATATATATAATGAATGAATATATGTGATGAATGAATATATATGTGTTGTATAAGTGTTAGACAACAAGTAAGCAAATGAAAAACGTGCAAGAGAGAGGGAAAAAAATAAGAGGAAGAGAACATGGACAAGTCTCCATAGGATTCTTGGGGACCAAGTAAATCTTGGCTATAAATAGTCAAGTCCAAGCCAAGCAACAGGCACGACAGAAAGAGAAAAAGGAAAGAGAGAGAAAGGGGAAGAAGGAGAGAGAGAAATGGAATAGAAGAAAAATTTATGAAATCTTAGGGTCAAAAATTAAGCAGTTATTTTCTTTTAAATCGCTATCAAATTTGACTATGTCATTCGCGATATTTCGAATTTTGTATTTATTGAAGTAATTGATGGATTTTAGGTATGAGATAATATATAATATGCTCTTGTCTTTTAAATCTCTTTCTGAAAAATGTCCTTTCATTATCTGAAATTTTGTATTCTTATTGATTATTGTAATTTATATGAAATTCTGTCAATGTTATCTTGTACATTGGGCTAAATACTTTGAGATTGATTGATACATGTACGAAGTGTAATTAGAAGCATAATTGGTGAAATGTGATTATGGTCCTGCGGGATGCAATTTTGATTACAGTCCTGAGGGGTGTAATAGTTCGATATTAGTATGAATTTTAAATGCACAAGTGTCATTTGTCATATCACCAAGAAGACCCGAATATGAGGCTATGTTTGATAGAAATCGAACTATGTGACTTATCAAATTGGATTCTTGATTTTTGTATCTATGATTGTCTATTGATTGAATTATTTGATATTTGACCATTCATATTCTTTTATAGTTTAGCATATTGTTTCATGTCATATTGTATACTTCCCTGCCTTTAATATTTTTCAGGATTATTTTGGTGGGAAGGACCATAGTTGATACTTGAAGAATCAAAGACGGACGAATTTTGATATAATCTATAACTTTGTGGGTTTATTAGGGTGATGTATAATTTGAGCAGATTTGTTTTTATATTGAAGAGATTATTTTTATTGGTATTTAGAGATTAAAATTGCGATTATAAATTTATTGAGGCAATTAGAGCTCTGGCCCTGTATTCGGAGATTTATTTGTGGTATATTATCGATCAATTGATTTAATCAAGTAACGGGTCCGAAAAATAGGGGTGTTACATGAAATATCCTAAAATGCATTTTAGTAAATGTGTATATCAACATATGTAGATATTTTTTTGAAGTTTCAGTTATTCTGCTTCAAAGGTTTGGATTTTGGGTTTTGAATGCAAGGGGTTTTTTTTATTTTTTTATTTTTAATGGTTACAATCAATTTTAGTTAAAGAGTGTCTACTTGTGACATAAACTTGTCCATAGAAATCTCTGAGGGTATATGTTTCTGTAATGTCCAAAATAATGTATAATTTCTGTAATTTTTTCAAATCATATTGGATAAACAATAGTATCAATAACTTTTTATGCACAGGTACAAAGTTCACATTTTAGTTGAACTATTAAACGATTGACATAATCCAAGGGTTTGCAATTTANATTGGGACCTTTTCTCAGACAATTTTTGAACATGTTCATCCTTGGTAATTAGACTTTTAGTAATTGTATGACATGTTGAACCGATATGCTTTATTTTCTTTCTGGTATATCGAGCCGGCCATTCACCACAGGTCAAGGACTGGCCTCAAACTTGAATTCAATATTAACCTTCATATATCCTCTCCATTCTTTTCATGAATGTTATTTTCTCACCCATTGAATTCCTTTGTTGTTACTTTAAGCTGAGAT